GCGGCTCGGGGGGCTGCGGGGCGGCCACGAGGCCGGGGCCGCCCGAAAAGCTTCGTTTGGGGCCGCCCGGGTCTGCCACGAGGCGGGCGGCCATTGCCCGCCAGGGGCGCGCGGGGCCGCCCCACAGCGGCCGCCCTGAGGCGGGGCCGCCGCCGAGGCGGAGTTTGAAAGTGTCCAAAAAAAAAAGAATCATCCCAGAGAGCGATAATGACCTCGGCGTTTGTATCTGGAAAAATAATAAGTGACTAAGCCTATCTCATGATTTTAAGGGGACTGAGTCATAACTGAACGCTTCTGGCAATACTGATCCCCTCTCCCCTGGCAGGAAGCCATTGAACAAATCGTTAATTTGCTCTTTTTTTCCTTTTTTTTAARCTACTGAATCCTGTGAAAGGGGACTTTGGTTTGACCGTGAAAAAAGCTTAATGTTATAATAGGGAAATAAAAAACCTCACAGAGCTCATCTGGCTGGAGGCAAAATTCCCAATCCCACCTGACGGAATGGGCCGCATTTGTGGGAATGCAGCAGCACAGGCTCCCAGCGGTCAATTCAAGTACCAAATATGCTCCATGTTCTTAAGGTTCACAGAGGGGAGTGCAATAAGGTTACTCACAGCGTGTTATACACACTTAACTCCTCTGAGTATTGATCAACAGCAGTGGGGGATCGCATCTTGGGAAATCTGAAAGGGTTGTCTTATTTCACCAATAAACTCAATAAAATACTTCAAGCAGGTTGCTCCCTCACAAAAAGAAAGCTATCAGAATTGTTCTTATTCCACTGAAAACACAAAATGGTTTTGAATGGCTTATCCTAGGATATCATGTCGCTATATTGTAAGATTAAGCAATGCCTGGGAGGTGAAGGGGTTGTGAAGGGTTYGTGCTTTGGAGGTTCCTGAACTGAAGCGACTGATGGGCCCCTCCATCTGCTCTTTCAGGGACAGAGAGGGAAAAATCCAAAACCTCMCGGAGGGTTTCCTGGCTACTGGAACATGCTTGCTGACTAGTCCTACATTTGTGAACTTTCGGTGACCTGAAATTGCACAAGGCAGCAGCAGGCATCCCTGCGGCTAGAGAGGGCAGCCCCAGGAGCAGAGAGAGCAGCAAAGGCTGCGCAGGCAGCAGCCATCAGCCGAGAAATGCGGGATACCAGGAGGTGCTTTGCTCCAGATGCTGGAACTCTCAAGCAGACCAGGCTCCAAACTCCTTAAGCTTTCTGATAACTTGTAACACACACAGTTTGTTGACTCAAGGAACTTAAGTGTGAAATAGTACAAGTTAGCCTGAATGAAATTTCAAGCCTAGGCAAGCCCTTAGTGACTGTGTGGATGCTTAACTCTATTATGTTCCAATTACTATGCAGACCTTTTGGCTGAATTATTTGTGTTTCATCTTTCCTTGAGTACGAACCTTCTCTCTTCTCATGCAGCCCATTTTAGAGTTGCCCTTTCAAAAGCACTTTTATCTCACCTCTAAATTCCTCCCTTTCACCATCTTCTTCCTCATGACTGAACCCATCATGATAGAAACACAACTACATTTTTGCTCCCAGAGCTATACCGAGTTCCAGCAAGAGCCCGTGTGATACTCTAAYATGGATTTAGTATCAACAAACCCACAGCTCGACCGTGTGTCTGTCATCCATCCGGTGGGGGATCAGCAGGAGAAGGAAACTGCCTAGCTGGGAGATTCGTTTGTGTCCGCTCTGCTTCGCACACAACAGCAACAACACATTTCCAACAACAGCAACACATTTCCATCTGGAGTAGGGATGTAGCTGCCTTAGGTGGTCTGCAAAACGCCTCAAAACTAGAGTTTGTAAAGGGGTAATTAGCTTCTAACTCATTAAGGTCATAGGAACAGAATGATCTGGAACTGGCCAGAAGGTTCTTCTTAATTTGTTTCCACTCCATCCTCTTTCCTGCTAAAACTGCACAGATAAAGATGTTTTATCAAAAGTACATCTGAGTCGAACACATTAAAAGCTGGCCAGCAATCCTGAGGTCTTTTTCTATCTTTGTGACCATCAGCCACATCAAACTCTTGTTTTCCACTTGTCCAGTGCAAGGGTGACACTACCCATACGCTGAAGTGTTCGAAGTCTTTGCAATTTCTGCAATGCTTGGAAGAAAACAATTTGATTTCTTGTGGGGAAAAGCACTCATGCATATTCTTCACAATTTAAGATTTCAACTCAGAAACAAAAAAATATTTACTGCTCTCAAGCATTCAAAACAACCGCATTTCACACCATTGTGCAATTTTCCCCCAGGGTTTCTCCAGGGATTTTTGTTTTCTAACGTTAGTTTTACAGGCAGCAGCTCCTTGACATGTTGATGCTAAAACACATATATATGTGTGTGGGGAGAGAGAAGGGAGGGTTTTGTGTGGGCTACGAGGTGTCAGGCAAGAGGAGCTTTCCTTAGAATCTGGATTAAGAGCCTGTTTAAAATGAGGCAGAGCAGTATTTGTTTTTCCCCCAGGGCAGGAAGAAAACAGCGCTTCCTGACAAGAGGTAAAATGCCTTACAAAGATTACAGATGAGGGCTGAGGAATTTACAGGTGCAGAGGGCAGGCTGAGAGAGAAGAAAACTGGAGGAGAAGAGACTGGAAAGATGCACCCCTTCTCTCCCAGTYGTAATCACATGCAGAGACCCTTCTTTCACTCAGAAAATAAAACTAGAAATTCACCCATCTCCTACATGTTCCTCCTTTTATCTTTGCAAAATTCCAGCACATCCATTTGACAGAGCAGGGCAGCATTTAGATAGCTTATTCCGAAGCTACTTTAAACACTGCCTGAGTAATAATGCTAAGTCACAGCTATGTAAAGCAACATCCATATTACAGAGAGAACCTGCCAAACTGTGCTTTCAGCAACACTTATTAACAGGGGTTTTCTCCATGGAATGGTAATAATTTGTTCCTTTAATACTGGAAATATTCTTACAGCAACAACACACAGAATGCTCCAGGACTCTGGAATAATGAGATGTCATATATCCATTTATAGCCTTTGTTCTTGATGGGAAAAAAAAATGTGCATTAGCCAAGTAATATTTTATACTTCAGTTCAAATGGTTACATTAGACTTCTGCCTAGTGCCTGCAGTTCATATTAATGCCAGCTTAAAAATAATGACTTWTTTCCAGTTCATCAGTAAAGAAAGCATCAACCAAATCACCACACAAGTCAGACAGTGATGAATACAATATGCTAAATTTGGTTTATTTTTTCAGATATCAATGTAATACATAAGCACATTTAATTAAGGGGGGATATAGTAACAAGCAACCAATTAACTGAAACAAAGCAAATATTTGAAATCTTTGTTCTATGCTTACACATAAAAACTTCCCCAAAAGATAGGTAGGACTTGTCATTCAACATAACAAGGATTTCAGTCATATATGTATAATAAAAAACTCATGTTTGTCATAACCAAAAAATTATTTTTAAGATAAAAAAAGAATAACCATTACCTCATGCAATGCACAAAGTCTATAAAGCAAATTCATTAATGCAAGTGAAAAACTCAGGCATTTTTTTAAYCATATTAAAAAAAGGAGCTTTTACAAAATTAATCTCATAACCAGTTTTCTCAAATCCTTTCCTAGCACTGGGAAAGGATCCTGTAGCTTTCTGGACTCCAGGAATTTACTGAGAGGTACTTTTTTCAATACAAGGAAATTCTTGTAATATAACTAGGAGTTCTCTAAATGACAAGCGCATCTGATGAAATTTTTAAGTGCAAATCAATATTTTCTTAGTGTTTTTCCAATTAATGAGGTAACAAGGCTGCAAAGTACAAAATAAAGGGGGCAGCACGATATCAACTGTATGCACACTGGATGCAAAAAAAAATAAGAAAAAGGCAAATGTGAAATACGTGGTTCCAGTGTACAGCAAGGGAGACTGGAAAGACTGAGAGGGGTGGGAGAAGGAACCAGYATTTCCCCAGCAGAACTTTAAACCCAACCTCCCCAAATCCACTCAGCTGAAAATAAAGATTCAGTAAATTTAAAGCAAAATTTATCAGTATGTCCGACAAGCTGGACTCTCAGGGAAGAGGCTGCACAATAAATAGTCACAGTTCTAGCTGGCTGCCTAGCAATGCTGAGAATGGAAATGCTGCTTTAACAGCTGCATCTCACCCCAACCAGCTACAAAAAGACTAAAAGATCCGTCCAGTTATGAGTTCCTGACAGCAACAGGGCCACAATTACAGAGCAGTAGCTTCCATAGTAAATAACAGAATATATGGCAAATAAGAGATTGAGTTAGCAAAACATGCTATAAAAGAGTATAAAAGTTTTTAAAAACTTCTTAGAAAGCTCTTCTTTTGGGAAGGAGGAACACGAGTCTGTGGCCTGGCATTACAACAGTAACTAGAGCAGTTGTATCAGATTGCTGGGATCAACTTCTTCCAAACCAGAGGTGCATTTGTAAAATGCCCCAGGGTGAATGACCAAAGGCTGGCCAGACAGTCGGGGAATTTTAATATCAGCAGCAGAATCAGCTGTGTTTGTAGAGGACGGACTAACACTTGGGTCAGAAATCTCTTTGCTTGGTATGCAGAGGACAGCGTGTCGCAGGCAATTCGCAGTCCCTCTATCTGGGTCCCAAATACAGCCCTGAGAATATTTCACTTTTCTCCATTTTAAACCCTTTTTTGCTGGGGAAGGTGTTCCGAGAAACGCCTGATAAGCCCTGAGCTGCAGTCCCCACTAAGCCTATCAGAAAAGGTTAGCTTCTTGAAAAGATATTTTGAGCTTGTAGTTGTTTTGAGGGGCCAGGGGAGGTGGGCTGTTAGTTCACATAAAAATCCAGGTTGCTTTCCTTCAGGATTCCTGAACCCCAATTAATCATCCCAGGTTAATCAGCTTTTTCATAGCAGGTGCGTTCAGCACAACCCCTCTAACACCCAGTGGCTACTTGTGGTGACCACTGAAACCCTCAAAACTTCAAAACCTTCAGCAGTTTTTCTCTCATTCTGGGGCAGGTTTGGAAGTCTAAGAAAAGCTTGCCCTTGTGTTATGAAAAATGTCAGTTCCTGCCACCAACAGATGCAAAACTTATGTCACCTTTCCTAAATTTCAGTGTTCACAACGCTACCAGTCCAAGCCTGTTTGTTCTTTAGCCACAGAGTTACATCTTCTGGCTCTCAGGAATATAATGGAGTTATTTGCTCAACAAGCTGATCTGATCTGCATTCATCAAAAGCAATACTCTCTGTACAAACACGTGCTCCAGAAATCTGATACTAACAACTCAAAAATATACTGTAAAAGAAATTTAATGCAACAAAAATTCAGTATTTACATAACGTCCAAGTTTCATTTCATTTTCTCTCAACAGGTGCATYTGAGCTCCTTAGTAGTTTCCAAGTAGACACTCCATACTCTGTCTTCTATCAGCTCACCAGAAATTAGACTTAGCTTTAAAACGTCAATAGAATAAGATGTGCATGGAAATGCCATGAACCACAGAGGTAAAGGATTATGTTATAACATTCAGGAAAGTGGCAAAACCTCTTTTGCCACCTCACCCCTTATCCAGGGGGTTTTGGATGTTGTTTTTTTTGTTGCTTTTATCCTTAAACATGACCTCAATCAAAAAAAAAAAAAATCCACACTCAACTGTACATTTTCTGAGGCTTCAGAAGACACTTTTGTTTCCATTTCAAAGAAAGAATCAAGGCYAGAAAGAAACAACTGAATACAAAGTTCCTCTGGAGTCCATGCTCGAAGGCTGGCTCTGCAGAAGCAGTCATCTTCCTCGATCTTGATGTTTTTTTGTTTTTGTCTTTTTCTTTTTGTCATCTGTTTTAGGTTTCAATGCACAGACACATGCGGACACACCGGCAATTGCTTTGGGCAAGTCTGTTCCTCTGTACCACTTATTTTTCTCCTTATCATAAACTTGGACTGTTTTGGAGAAGACTGTTTCTTCCCAGCTGTAGCCTCCAAGAATATAAATCTTGCCTTCCCAAACAGCCACCCCTGACTCACTGTTTGCTTGCAGCAAAGGGGCAACTCTGGTCCACTGGTTACATTGAGGGCTGTACGACTCCACGCTCAGAATGTCAAAACGGGCCATGGTTTCTATGTTGTCATCGCTGCCTCCAATGGAATAGATGTGGTCCTGCAGGGTGCACATGCTGTGCCACCCCCTGGCCGTGATCATTGGCCTTTTCTCCTCCCAAACATCTGTGCGATAATCGTAGCAGAGCAGATTTTTTCTGTAAGGGCCAATTTGGTAGTCGTGGCCTCCTGAAATGTACACAAATTCCTTGTAGACAGTTCCTGCGTGGCCATAGGTAAATCTAGGACAGGCAAACAAACAAAAAACCCATCTTAGTACCTGGAGTTTTTATTGAGATAGCCAGCATTTCACAAGGATTGGTACTAAACAAGAAAGTTAACAGAAGATAGGAGTATCCCTAATCCTGTTAGTTACCCGGTAGCTTTTCTCCACATCACACTGGTGGCTGCAGAGTGCTAAGGAGTAACATTCACTTTCCAAGGCATCCTTTTCATACCTGGTCACTACAGAGTGCTAAGGTATGACAAGCACTTTTTAAGGCATCCTCTACAGTGTGTCATACAACAGAAGCAACCCATCCTGCTCTAGTTGCCATGGCCTTCTCTCCCATTTTTCTGTTCCAGGGCTTGGGTTGGATCAGTCTGAGAGGGCCTGAGAGGAAAAAATCCACAGCTCAGCAAGGGATTCTATGACAGAAAGAGGAAATAATCATGATACCTGTCAGACTTAATAGTAGTGATTAGCCAAGAAAAAAAAAAAAAAAAAAAAAAAAAAAAAAGAAAAAAAAAAGAGAGAGAACTACTACTGCCTTCCCCTTCCACAGCTTCAGGATCGTGAATCGGTTCTCGCGCCCCAGTGTTCACAGCCCAGTTTACTTACAAGCACATTACAATCAATGTCCTTTTCATGATCTACCTGTCTGTTCTACCACATCTGCTATACGGGTTATAATGTCTTCAGTCACCTCAGAACAAGTCACTAAACCTTATTAATCAGAGACCAGAGGCCATATTTGAAATAAGACAAATTAAGCTKGTGGAAACTATCCTCATGAATGTCATTTCCATAGGGCAAAGAGAAAAATGTTGTGATTGGCAATAATAAAGCCACTACAAACCCAGTTCTGGAGACTGTTCTTAATTTTACATATGGATATTTCTGACAAAACCTTTTGAACCCAAAGCAGAAGGCTAAGATGAAGGACTGCATCAGTTTCTTTGAACGCACCCTTCCTGCACATGTCTTTTTTTGTCAAAAGATGTAGCTGCAGCACCAGCTGTGACAAACTAGCTCACACATCGATGAAAAAAGCTCRAACTATTTAATGCTCGTGAGGCTGCAGAGCAAAATACACACCCTGCTGCACAGCTACCTTGCTACATAGCCCAGGACTCAAGATAACTCAACCTGCATGGCAGACCAACCTATTTCACCATTGCTTTAGCCTGGAATGCTTTCAAGCTCTGCCTGAACATGCTTAAAAGCTGAATGTGGATAAAACCTCGAGCTGGTTTTATTTCACATGGTAAAGGTTAGTCTCAACTACATGAATTGTTCTTCTTCCGTGCACATAAAGCACCAAGTGCTTTGGAGCCAAGGGGAAAAGGTGCAAAAGAAAAGCCACATTTACCCTGGAAGCACAATAACTTCTGAGAAAACCTAAAGATGTTTTTTATTATTATTCCAGAGGGCTATCAAAGTCTCKGATCCTTGACTAGTGTCTGAATCAGATAATTTTAACAAGCTGCCCATACAAAAAAAACAAATATCCTTGCCACACACWTGGCTGAAGTAATGTAGTGTACCCAGGGCAGATGCTGCAGCACCATCCATGCAGAACTTGCAGACTAGGGAATTCTTATTGCTACTTAGTCACTTGCTTCAGAAGCTTAAAAGGCAAGACTGAAAAAACAAGCCAACAGAAACACCATGCATCAAAATGAAAAACCTCACAGACAGCTATAAGACCGTATCCAAAAAAGACATCTCAAAAATTCTCTAGTTCGTTATCTGATTAATCATGGAGAAACCTAAATCCTGCTCCATGCTCCTGCGCGAGAATTCCCTGGGCTGCAGGTTTTTCACCTTCCAGAAATGCTGGGTGTTGATCTAGTCTCCCAACTCCTCTCCTAACAGCCTAACAAAGTAGAGCAGCACCCAAGTCTCTTGGGGCACCCAGCCTGGCTCGTACCCTCTTTGCTTCTCTGTGCATGCAGAGGGGTGGCTCTGAGGACCTAGACCAAATACTGGGGAAACAGGACAGGAAGGAACCTGAATTCCTTCCCTTTCCCAAGCGGAGGTGGATTTGAAACCCACATCTTCTAACCAACAAGCTACCTGGAAGACATGCAGTAGAGCTCTCCACAGAGGCAGCATGAGATAATAGTCTTGTCTGACCCTGGGTGATGCAGGCTAAATCTTTACTTATGCCATCAGGAAAGCAGAATTCTATATGGGTAAACAAGTGGCACACACTTCCTCTTAAGCCCACACAAGCAGTCTAGCCTAGACCGCTATAGAAAAGGYTCTGAAGCTCTATTTTTTGCCTCGATCAACAGGTATATCCAGTGAACACCAATAGGCGAAACACTGATCTGAAAAGGCAATCGTACCTGAAGAAAATTGCCTGTGTGAATTTGTTATTTTGCAATATAGAGAGATAACCTGTTTCAACAAGTTAAGAGTTAGGCTAGACTAATTTGTGGAAAGTTCATCCCAAACTGCAAATATTAGGCTTCAGCCTAATAGAAAACCGCATGAAACCATACACAAATTCAAAACAATCCAAAAGAGTGCCTTCTGTAGTTTAAACAGTGGCACTTTCGAAGTATGCAACAGAAGAGCACATTTCAGTACAAATGGCCCAGTCATCCTCCAGGTGCAAGCAACAAGTATCAATCACCTGGATGAGCGGACGGAGGAGACAGAGACATTAAGGAGAAAAGAGTTACCACTTAGAACATAGTAGCACCAACTAGCAATTTTGAATAAGCTTCCCAGTCACAAAGCTGCAAATGACACAGCTTCTGTCACAGCAGCACCATTTGGTGAACTCTAGACAATCCAGGAYCGGGATTTATCCTTTTTTACAGAGAATGAACACCACACACAGCCCAGCTCTTRAAACTTTGGGAATCCCCTACTCCAATCTGAGTCCAGGCGAGCTGTGGTTATTCAGAACTGTTGAGTCCACCTGTTGCAACCTTGCAAGATTATTCAAGATACAACTAGTAGAACAGCTACCATCACTCACTAACCTGTTCCAACACATTTCTTTGTATAACTTCTCCCATTTATTCTGCCAAATTTTAACCTAGGGCCAGACGATTAATTTCCCAGGTGCCTGCAGCACAGTTTTGCTAAGTCTGTTGAAAATGAGAAAACACCGCACCAGCTTGTGCTCTGCCAAGCTACTCAGCTACTGCTGTTCCCTTCCAGGCTGAAAACTGTGCAGGCAACTGCTCCCAAAGAGGCAGGAGGAATATCTATTAAAAAGACAGCACTCTTTTTAGGAACGGGGAAGGTATCCTATAGCCATGAACCTTAGCAAGGTTCATGCAAGATTCACTTGTAGCAGACTTGGACCAGCTCCATCACTTAGATAGCTTGGCTGAAGTTTTTCCCATTAAGCATCTGCCCCAGGATGTGGCGCTTTCTTTTCCAGTAAGACAGAACTATTCAGTCAAAACAGCTCAGCTCCTTCCAAGAAAAGCGGATGGGGAAACGACAGCTCTTCCTCTGAGGAGCGTATTATTCCCATGTACAGCAACAGGGACACAGGCCTTGGAAGGTGACAGGAGGCCTCTGTGCCAAGGAAGCAGGCACTACCTTTTCCCCCAAAATCTCCCCACACCTGGCAAGCCGTGATTCTTGGGAAAGAAAAGAAAAACCTTATCTGCATTTTTCAAACAAAATATTCATCCAGTGTAACTTCCAAAAATTCCAGCCTGCACAACCTTAACCATCTATGTACCAGCTGCCACCACAGAACAACACGTGCCTATCACTTCAAGAACAGAAACTTGATTGGTTTCGTGAAGCTGCAAAATTTCCACAGGCAACACACAGCGAGCAGCAGGAACACACAGACAACATTGCCCCTTTTCGGACAGCTTACAATCTGGTTGGCTCAAGCCAACCACGAAACCCTACCCAAAGACCATTTAATATGGTGGAGGGGGGAAAGGTAACTAAGCAGAGAGGGGGGAGAGAGAAAAAAAAAAAAACAAAAAAAAACCCCACCACCTCCCTCTGCTCTAATGGGAGTGTTTTTGTTGTTGTTGATGATGATGATGATCATGATGTTTTAAACAGCATGCAAGGCAGTCAGGTCACATTCACATTTCTTTGAAAAAATGTGTCTGAAGCAGCTGTGCTACAACTGAGAGATGTTACTTGAATCTCACAAGTCACCCCAATTAACCAAAGGGCACAGGAACTAACGACACTCTCATATGCAGATTTCCAGGGAGGATAGTGATGTGTAGCCTCAATTGCCAGATCTGCCTGCGTGAGCAGAAGGAAAAAAAACATCCTCTTCTTAAAAGCACTCAAGCCCAGCTGTTAGCGTGGATCAGACTYGCATTGCAGCACCTACCCAAAATAGAATTAACAGTCTTCTGTGCTTTCACTGGCTGCCTAGAGCTCCACAGTCCTAAGGCTAAGGAAATAAGAAGTCTCCTATCTTGTTTGATGTTGCCACCAAAAAAACAAGCACTACTGCTAAAGCCCCAGGTTCTAGACACGGTGAAAATACCACCTTGCAATTCTCAAGAATGTGAAATATTGTAAAATCTGAATAGCTGCTTGCAGATTAGATGCTCTCCTWCCAGCCTTACAAAGTCACCACCCAAAAGCTGATGCCAGGTACAAGTTATGTCCTGTGCTGTTGTTACAGTAAGAGCTCTGTACTAAAGCCTCTCAAAAGCACAGCTGTAACTCAGACTGCACACTTGAGAGAAGTCACATTTGTCAGGGATATCTGGTACTTGTATACAGGTAAATGTGGATCATCTGCAAAAAACAATATTAACAACAAAACAAAGACAAACATCTTAAGAGGGAAAATGACAGTAGGCAATGCAACAAATTAAGGCCAAACTAATTCTAAAAGCTTTCGATCAAGAGCCAAGCAGGGCCTCTGAGAAGACTTTGCTCCGAGTGACTTTTGGAAAAAATATTAAAGCCTGGAGAGCAAAATTACAAGCCCTCTTCCCTTCCTTCCTTTGGAAATGCCTCTGGATAGAAATCAAAACCAATCCAGCTGATATAACGCATATTGCCTGTAAGAGATGTTTGCTCAGATACCACATATATATGTTACTTGCTGATACAATGTTGACTATTTTTTCTTTTGATACCCATTCATCTGCTAAAATCACATAAGCTCTCTTCAACCACACTCTTTAAAGAAAGGACAACTTTATAAACTTATCTCTGTTACCTTGGCAGCCCTGCTATATAGGACCATGTATCCTTTTGAGGACTATAGGTCTCAACTGAAGAGAGGGCTCCGTTTTCATTCCTGCCACCCACAGCCACCAGCATGTCAGTAATAGCTCCCAGGTAGAAATCCACACGACGCTGTCTCATGGAGGCAACCTGCCAAAAAAAGTGACACGTTGACATCTTCAAACATGCAGTAAGCAAGCTGACTTAATGTGTGTGTGTGTGTATGCATATATATATACACACACACACATATATAAATATCTGAGGTTATTTTTTCCCCATTAATTTGACAAGGGGAGCTACTGTTTCTAATCTACTATATTCAAAAATTACTTTTGTTTTTTTTGCAATACCATTTTACATACGGCCCTGTTTCAAAAAAAGGAGATAACAGAAAGCATTCAAGAAACAGGCCACTCCATAAACGTCTCAGTGTTACACAGGTCACCTTGCAAAACTCCCTAAATAAAAGTCTATCAGAAGCAGTCAACACCAGAAGGCAATCACAGAGGATTATTGGTTCAGAAAGGCAGGCACAGGATAGTATTTTATAGTCTCTGCATTGGCAGCAAGTTTTAAAATATGACTGGAAGGAAGTAAATAGCTTGTTCTAAGAGTCATTTAACAAAGTGACATTTTAGAAATGTCAGAAGCATTTTCTTTTTCATGTGTGCTAGTGCTTGGGAAAGACGAACGAAGCAATCACCACTGCAGGCCTCCTCTAGCACTATTCTCAGAAGTCATTTGRAAGAGCTGGAATTAGGTCCTGAACAGGGACTGCAACAAATCAGATACCTAATTCTTAAGAGAGGTTGAAAATCTGACCCAAACTCTTTCCCTTGTGTGTGTAATTAAATCATTGACACAAAGGATTCGAGTAGCCACTTTCCCATTTAAACAAGTCATTTTTCCATCATTTTTACATGCTGA